AAAAAAGAGAGAGAATTTTATACCCACAAAAATGTAACGTACACCCACCATAGTTGAATTTTGAGGGCGGGCGGGAAAATGGAGGTGTGCCACAGTGTGGACTGTAAATGTGACACTGGTAATGTGACCGCATCCCATGTGATATAGACCTGTTGTCCAATATGCTAACAATTACTTTAACTTAATTGTTGAATCAGGAGCTCCTTTACCAGAGCTTCTCTCTTGGTTTCCCTGGTAACAGTGACCTTTATTTACAGGACATTTTCAGATGGTAAAAATATTCTAATGAATGTAGAACAAAGGGGCCTATTATTTACTTTCAATTTAAATTATCCTCCACATAAACTCCAATAAAGTTTCAGATTCTGAGAACAGTTTCATATGTTCTGGACGGAGCTTTTTCTAAAGTTCTTTCTTAAGTAATAAACCTAAATTTTGGTTTGTTGGCAAGGTCGGTCTGAGGGAAGTTGTTCTTGAGTTGCATTAAGCGGAAATGTAGGCAGTCCAGTTTTTCCACTTGAACCCATACAAGGACCCAAAAGTCCTGAATATCAGCCTCTGCTCACGCGTCAATGTGGATCACTTCTTGGTTCAATCTGTCTCCCACAAGACCTCCAACTTAATGAAAAGTGAATTCAGTGGAGTGTCTCTTTTATTAAACGATTAAGTAAACCTGTACTCACCAACAACGGGGGGCCACATCCTTTCCTGATCCGGCACTCCAGTTCAGAAACAAAAAAGTGGTAATATCCTTTTTCAGTGAAAGGTTTCCGTTGCTCATTTAATCCTGAAAGAGACTTCCTGTAATATCCTGAATATTGGAATCATTCCGTCTGTGCACAGGGTTGTAAAGAGTCTCCAGAGTTGACACATTGAGTGAGGGTCCTCTGTGGCAGGATGACGTCCTGTCCGACCACTTTAACTGGCTGGTGTGAGCTCATCTCTTCAGTCTCTCCTGGGGAAAAAACAGACTTTGCATGAGGGACGACTGTGACAGCACTATAGTATCAATCTGGATATTAGTATGTCAGATTTGAATCCAGTTCATAACAGGGCTTTGTTTCCACAATTTCCCATAAATGGTTTTAGTCAATATTTCTAAACACACACTTCATTAACAAAATAATATATATTTTTTAAGATAAGATATTCCTTTATTGATCACCCTTAGGAGAAATTCTAGATTGACACAGCAGCATAGGGCAAAGGAGTGCAAAAGAGAGTGCAAAAAATACCACAAAATAAAATATTACAAAATATTAAATACTATAAAGACTATAAATGAAAGTATATACACAATGCAATATTCAAGTAGTTTTAATTGTTTCTGTTTTGACATTCTTAATCGTAACTATAAAACAAATATAGGGGACAACCTTTTCTTCTTTGTGGGTAAAGTGTGCTGCAGTTTAAATTCAATTCAGTATTATTTACCAAGGATTCATTATGTTCAGTAAATAATGTACTAAAGAGACTCACTTTGGCCCCACCTAGTGGCAACACACTGCATTGCGTTTAATAGCCCTTCAGCCAGTTCTCAGGCACCATACCTGGTTTCAGGCATAGAGCAGTTTTAAATGTTTATAATACTTGATTCAATACATTATACACATTTCCTCCTGGATCATTTTTTCTGGCTCACAGATCTTTCTTGCTAATGATCTAGTCCCTGTTCAATCATTAACTCCTCATATTCGACACCAAATTAAATAACTGACATCTTAATCACCGTCGTAGTATTAGTAAGGTTATTTTATATATATATATATTTATTTTTTACTTTCTTTGATCACCAGAGTTAAATCTGAGAAGGTTCAACTCCCTTTGAAGTGCTGAGTTTGTAAGTGAAAGCAAACGGGACTAAAACATCAACCAGCGATGGCAAAAATCAATCAAAAGTAAAAAATGAATTTACCTTTTGAGTCCAGTGAGAAGAAGAAGATTAAGAAGAAGAAGAAGATTACTTTGTGCCTCATTGATCGTTTGGGGCAAAGAGATGAACAGGACACTTTCACTTTTTGTGAAAAAAAACCCCCCACAAAAACGGAGCGTAGAACTTTCACTTTCTCTCTCTGTGTGGAAGCATTGTGCAATGCTTGTGCAATGCTTCCAGCCACTGGGGACACGCCCCCGGTTACAGGATGGATGATAAGCATATGAATATATCCATCGGACCATATTAATTGTCACATTATTAACTCAGGAGGACTTTTGTCAGGATCAGTGAGATTGGCGTTTTTATTGGATATAATATCTGAAAATAAATCTATGAAAATGAATTTGGGAAGGAGGCTAATATACATTTTCCATTAAAGGTCCAGTGTGTAATACTCATAGGTAATGGAATATAATACTCATAGGTATTATCACCTGAAAATAGGAATCATTGTGTTTTTGCGACCTTATAATGAGCTGTTTCTATCTACAAAGGGAGCGGGTCCCCTTCCATGGAGCCGACCATGTTGAACTGCCATGTTACAGTAGCCCAGAATGGACAAACCAAACACTGGCTCTATAGGGCCTTTTGTATGAGTTTCTCTTTTGCGTGTGGCTGAATCAGGTTTTTTTTTTATTTGGCTGCTATCAACAATAGAATAGAATAGAATACATTTTGTTGTCCCTTTAAAATAACACATAAAACATGTTAAAAGACAGAAAAATTAAACTACGTGGTGCATTTTGTTGACCTCATTCTACTAATAAAATGTACACACTGTCAACTGCAAATAAAAATATAAATTGATGTATTTAATGCAAATGAATGTGAATGTGTTTTTCTCCCCACCCAGAGGAGGGTGGGCAGGTGTTTCTAAGTGTTCCTGTGTAAGGTTGTTTCTTCTTTTGAAGTGGCAGTAAGTGTGAAGTGTTTCATATTTCCTGGTGATTTGAACTAATCATTCCTGTCACTGACGCGGTAAAGTGAAACCGTGCCACTGAAGCTGTTGAACCAACACTGCGCTCCTGCAGAGGAGGCTGCGCTCTTCTGTAAGGAGCGCACTTACATTGATAGTCACTGCGCTGCTCTATCAGGACCTACAGCTGAAAAAAAAGGCTTCAAAGTTTCAAACAATCATTTTTTGTTCCTTTTCTTTGTTTAAACCGCTGAAAGATCCAGTTTTTTGTTTCGTTTCTTCTGTCTTTATTTTTGTTTGTTTGTGCCATGGACGTCCAGTTCTTCTTCCTCCTGGTTACCGCACTGCTGTCTTGCGCAGGTATGTGAGAGTTATTGTGCGATGATGCCCAGACCGTTTAAGTTTGGTATCTTGCCTGTGGATTCTTTATTTTAAACGGTCGAAACATAAAAGCATTTTTCCTTTTAGTGGAAATTTTAGAGAAGTTATGAAATGTGCTCAGTTTGTTTTCTACAAAATGGTTCCTTCTTTTATCACACTGTAGTGTTGGGCTAGTTAATACTTTCCTTATTACTCCCTGCCAACAGTAATTAGTTACACTGCTTTACTACATTATTTCTCTTCTACTACCCGTAAAAACAAAAAAAAAAAAAACTTCAGACTTATGACTAATATTATTACTGAAAAGTATTTAGTTAGATTACTAGCTACTGGGAACATTTCTTTGACTGTACTTTATTACTGTAATATTATTACTGGTACTGCCTTAGGGTTAGGGTTAGTGGTACGTCTGCACAAAATGGCAGTAAGAGCGGTTGAGTTATCTGAGTTTGGACCAACATGGTGGACTACTAATGACAGAGCAGCCTTCATGCTGCAAGAAAAAGAGAAGCAATATCTCCCAAGCAGGTTGCACAACATCTTTGAGTTGTGATGCGATCAAACAGTTTCCTCATTTTCAGATGGAAGAGGAACTCTCCGACATGAAGTGATACATCATGAAACTACGTCAATTGACTCTTTTGTTACAGTGGAGTCTTTACTGCCAAAGAAAAGATTAAAGCTGTGTTAACACATTTTTTTGGGCCACTTATGGGTGGGTGAGACAAAGTGTAAACACTTCTTCACTGACTAGCTGCTTACTTTGTGTTTTGTGTTCCCACACATCCTGGAAAAGCTGGAACTTTAGAGACTAGTTTTGCAATCATGGAAACACCTGGAAATTGATCAAAATGACCAAACATCCTGGAAATAATGTATGGCACAGTGGAATAAGACCAGGTTTTGGTTACACACACATGCACATCAGAAAATCAATTTATTGTTGATTTTGGTATTTTTTGTAGGATTTGTTGACAATAAGAAAAATCTAAATTTACCACCATGTTTTGTGTTTTCAGCCTCAGAGGACGGTGTGTCAGTGAAGATCCTGGCCTCTGCTGGAGAATCGGTCATCCTGCCCTGCCGCACGGACGTCAGCGGCGACTTCCCTACAGTGGAGTGGTCCAAGGAAAGTCTGGAGCGAGGCATCGCCTTCCTGTACCGTGATGGCTGTGAGACTCACGAGATGAAGAATCTGGTCTTCAGGTACAGAACAAACCTCTTCATGAACGAACTGATGAAGGGAAACATCTCGCTGAGGATTTCCAGCCTGCGGCTCTCTGATACAGGAACATACATCTGCAAGACCATCCTGAAGAAAGCCCAGAAGGTTTTTAAAGTGGAGCTCTTTGTCGGTACGTCCAATCAAATCTCTAATTTGTTAAAAGTTGCCTGTTTCCGTCCAGAGCGCAGCCGTGCATTCTTCATTCTTTCCCAGAATCCTACAACAGAGGTCAGAAGAGGACAAACTCAGATATCTATTAGGTGAAAAACAAAACTGCTGTACATTAGCAGCTAAACATTTAAGGTGAGGGATACAGCTTCTTGTTTTTCATGTTGAAATTGACTGTTGTTGTTGTTTGCTTGTTAAAGTCATATAAGTGTTACAGTTCCCTCCAGTGTTTGTGATTGTACAAACATACACATTCATACATTTATTATTATTGCTTTTATAACTGTTAATATCTGTTTCTGTCTATCTGCTTTGACAATCTAAGCACTGTCTTCTCAAAAAAATAAAAAAATTGAAAATCATATCAAGATTGCAACAACTTGAAACTGCAACTGAAAGTTTCAATAGACTGAAAAATACAAACCGAGACTCATTACTCAAAGGGAGAACGTGTATGAAGGTAGGTGTCCACATAACTCGAACCCTGCCACCAATACTGAGAAAGCATCTGTTCCCCACAATAAACATTAAATTAATTTCCATTTGTGAAAGAAAACGTGGTGACAAGTGTGACTTTTCAGATCCTCTGAGCGACGTTATTTCTAAAAAGCCGCTAGCCAAACACTGTACAACTTATTAAAACCATAGTGTTAAATATATATTACAATGTAATGTGTAGAATAATGCAGTTGAAAGACTGCACTCAGCTCGTCCTTAAAAACCACTCACATTCACATCAAAATAACTGGCTAACCAAGTATATTAGACTGCAATGTACATGGAATAATGGAAATATATGTGACTGTATATATCGCCCATCGACCTCACTGCTCTCTAAATATCAGCGTCAGCAACTGAAAAGCCCATATTGGTCGACAACTAGTCCGTATCTATAATAAATATGATTTAAAAGAACTGATTTTGAGGTCACATATTGTATAATTCTTGGTTTTGTAGGAGCAGTTTCTGAGCCCAGACTCTCAGTTGTTCCAGCTGTGGGAGGAGGAGGAGGAGTGACTCTGCAGTGTGAAGCCAACTGCTGGTTCCCGGAGCCTGAGGTAACGTTTCTAGACCATCAGGGAAACAGCATCAGCACTGAAGACCCAAAGAGCAATCTGGATTCCAGGGGATGTTTCACCGTCACGAGCAGACTGACTGTGCAGGCTGACACCAACAGGTACAGTTACAGTTTAATACTAAAGAGATTTAGTTTCCATATTTTAAACTGAGGTTTGCTTGATTTACCTCATCCAAGGAGGCTTTCAGTCGCATCTGTGTGTTAACAAAATGCTGTATCGTTATCGCTCAAAGTATGTCAATAAAGAATCTATTTCCAGCAATAAAAGCTCTGGCAGCAGATACAGGACTGAAGGCTGTATTTTCCCTCCCATTAGAAGTCCAGTGTGTAACCTTTAGGAGGCTCTATTGAAAGAAATATAACTATATATAATCATTGTTTTTTGTTACTTTAGAACAGTGGTTTCCAACCCTTTCCCCTTTATGTTCATAATATTTCATAGTATATAACAGTACAGAATAACTGATAAACTAAACTAACAACTCCAGGAAGTTTGTGTAAAACGAGTGGTTCTATTAGCTTGTTTTAACTGTGTAGTTTTCTAATGCAGGATGATTCTGTTTATCAGAGAGGTGTTTTTATGTGTTTTTTATGTGTTTTTCACGGGTTTCGCAGCCACCTTAGTTTCTCCGCACACAGCCCGTTCCCATTCCCAGGTTGTCAAATACAGACGACATAGTGTTTAATTAGTTGCAGTCTTCGCCACTAGATGACACTAAACCCCACACACTGGACCTTTTAGGTGCAGGGAAACCAATCTCAAAGGGGGAACTGGACTTCAACCCAACACCTGTTCTGTAAATAGATTAGCAAGCTAGTTAACTGTTATAGAGACCAGATGTCCCTGTTTTCAATTATAAACTAATTGAACTAACACTGTCTTTATTTTAGGAGAATCTGCAGAGTTCATCAGCCTCAGATAAACCAAACGAGGGAAACAGATATTTACATACCAGGTACACCTGAGCTCCATTCACCTGTAACCATTTACATTCATGATTTAAACATCTGTCATTCTGTCAGCCACATACAGTTTTGAAATACCACAGTTTGAGGGTTTTTTGTCATGAATGGGAATGTTTCTACAATTTAAACATATCTGTAGTGTTTCCATAAGCCAGAAAAAGAAAACAAAGTTCATTCATTGCTCATTCATTTTTCCAAATCTTCTTTATTCACACATTTTAGTCATTATTATTTATGTTATAAAACTGAAAGATTCAGATGTTATTTTATAAATTTGTGGGTTAATAACATACTGAGGACATTCTCGCTAATATAATTACATCAAAAGTATAGTTGTACATACCTGAGTCTCTTTATGGAGGAGACTTCAGTGACTTATACATTCAGTTGTTGTTTGTGTTCAGTTCTGAGTTTTGTCAAAAGTTGTGGCACTAAAAGAGAATACAGTGCAGGGCAGAAAGCATCTCTTAATAATCTGACAACAAATGATTCAGGTGCTCTCTCTGTAGATTATATAATGTTTCTGAAATATCATATAATGTACTCATTTCCACATAATCTTCATTATCATTTCAGCTGACTGCATGAAGTCCTGCACTCTAACCACCAGCATCGCTGTTGTAGTAACTGTCATTGTATGTGCATTAACTGCCTTCCTATGCAAGACATATGGCAACTCTGGTAAGTCAGTAACACTTGTTCATGTTAAGTAGCTGTTAGGTCTCAAAATTTACCTTCAGCCAAATATCTTAAAGATATAAATATGTGTAGAATATTTGTTATTATTACTTCTTTTTACATTATATCCATGCAATATGTTTGATGCAAAAATCTGTATATGTGTAGCACTGGGGGGTGCCAAAGTTAGGATTCATTAGTAACATGTAAACACCCCAAAATACCAGATCAGCTCTGTTCTGGAGGGAATCAGTAGAGAAATCTAATAGAAAACACTTGAACTACCAAAACTATGTTTGTTTTCTGAACATAATGTAATTTGTGTGTGATACCTGAAGAAACTTCATCTTAAAGGGTTAAAAATCTGGACTTTAACAGATGAAATATCATGACATCCACCCATGAATTAATCTTTTTTAGCGACACAGACCGACAAAGATTCACAAGTAAGCTAGCTAGCAACAGCATGGCTTTCCTGCCGGAGTGGTTCTCGGGACCGGGCCTCACTGATTACTGTAAAAACACACAACTTTATCAGTGTTTTGGGTGAAACTGGATCATATTTTATGGAAAGATTATTGTCTGGTTTTCTCTCTGACGTCCTCCGGCTGCTCTGCCTCAACTGCTGCTGTAGCTGCCGTAAGCATGTAACCGAACGGGGCTCAGCAGCCTCCCAGTAAACACAACCTCCAAGACAGATGGAGGCCAGTTTGACAACAGTGGTACCAAGGTGATTTATAGAGTTTCCAGTTCCTGTTTGTTGGTTCTAAAAGTCAAATATGGCAAAAACCACTTTGGTACTGTATTCCCTGCTGTTAAACTGACCTCCGTCGGCACTGGATGGTGTATTTGGCCTCGGTCTGGCCGTGTTGTTCACTGGGAGCTCCCAGTCCGGCAGTCAGCTAAGAGGAGCGTTATAGTTGCTTGGTGGAGTGACGTAGCACACATTCAGTGCTAGTAGCTACTGCGGCAAGTCCCTAGGGTACAGTATGACCCAGGATGTAATCTCTATTTCATCTGGACTTTAATTGCAAACAGCAGCAATGAGTAGGTTAATGCAGCTATCAGGAAATATTCTGTTGTATGTTACTGTTTCTGTTCTGTTTGAAGTTTATAGTAAAATTGAAATGTCAGGTGAAGCAGGTGATAACAGAACATATTTTTTGTATTCACACAGCGTGTGGACAGAAATTGCCAGCATCCATCCTTCATGACAAAGATGAGATCATCCGCCAACTAACTGAAGAACTCAGTGACCTCCGATCTAAGCAGAGTCCTGTTGTGTGCCAGCCTACTAACAGTCCTTCCAGATCCTCACCAGACATTTCAAAACCCATTAACCAACCCTCACAGCAGTTTCCCCAAGAGAACAACCAAAACCCAGCGGGCTCAATCAGCAACCGTCCAAAATCGGGCAACAAAGACTCAAAACCTGGAGTCTCGAGACAAAGTCCAGCACCGCCCCTCCTGAACCCAAGCAGCAGTCACAACCACAGCATGCCTGCTCTTTTTACAGATAATGCCGACGTGTTGCCCACTACTTCTTCAGCCTTTCCAGATCAAAACCACGTTGTCCGTGCGATGAGCCTGTCTGAGTCTCGGCCTCATTCGAACGGTGCCAGGCCTCAACGTAGGTACACCATGGCAGCAACTTCTAACCGCTTCAGTCCTCTGGAGAATCTGCCGGAAGATTCTGAGCCCTTGCTGTAATGAGAACAGCAGAAATGTGATCAGGTGAAACTAAAATCTGACGTGAACCACTTACAGCTGTCAGTTGGGTGGGAGTTTTCGTACAAATAGCTGGTGTTACAGATGTTTTACAAAATACTTGGTACCCATAGTAACTTTGGGTACTAACTGAAGTTGGCAGCAAAGAATTTATCAGCAGATATCCCAAAAACCTTGGCAAATAAACAAGGGATGTGACGCCAAATCGCCCCAAATGGTCGACTCTATCTCAGCATTTGTCTTAAAACCGAGGGTGTGTTGAGCCATTTTTAACCCACAAACTGCAACTGCGGAATTATTTGTATGAGGTTGTGACTTACAGCTGTCAGTTGGGTGGGAGTTTGGTTGGTTTACCTAAAAATAGCTCGTATTACAGATGTTTTACAAAATGCTTACCCATAGTAACTCCTTAAACAGTCAAAGGTTTTAGCAGCAGATATCCCGAAACCTTGGCAAATAAACAAGGGATGTAAATCTTCCAGATTAATCCGGAATTATGATTTTCAGCATTTGTCTTAAAACAGAGGTACTTTGCATTTTTACATTAGAAAACTAAAACCTTTAATAAATAGGGAAACAGAAAACAACCCATGCACAATCAATATTTCCTCTTTATTGTGCACTGTGTGTGCTTATGGTGCTCATGGACTCTGGTAGTCCAGCTAGTGGTGCGGTAGGAAAAAAAAAAATACTTGGGATTCATATCAAATTCTTGTAAAATATATTTACTTGAAGCAATGTCACTTAGAATGGAAAATACACCAATCAGCCGTAACATTGTGAGCACTGACAGGTGAAGTGAACACTGATTATCTGGTTATCATGGCACCTGTAAATGGGTGGGATATATTAAGCAGC